CTCACCTGCACAGTATTCAGCTCTGGCCTTTGTGTTACTGATGTCAGATGAGGAGCTGGATGTGTTTGATCTGAAGAAATTCTCCAGATCAGATAATGAGCACTGGAGGCTGCTACCTGTGGTCAAGTCATCTAAAACAGCTCTGTAAGTGATGTGAGGATGTAAAAACAGGTCTTGTCTGGCAGTTATACATTAACATTGTTTGAAATATATCAGCCATATAGTTTCTTCCTCTTCATGGATTAATGACTGGGCTAGATTTGTTTTTTAATATTCTGAACCCAGATTTTATAATGACTGAAGGTAGTGATGTAGTGAAAAACACAAAAGTCCACTAACATTCACTATGCCTTCCGATAACTGGAGCAGCATCCTAACCTGCTATAGAAACAAAGAGGGCTTTTTATCTGGAGGGTTTATAAGTGAAATGATCCTTTATTTGCATAAGTACAGGTATATTGGGATGCTTCTCTTCTCACTCTCCATGAGAGACACAGACACATTTACAGGGAGAACAAGCTTAGGTGTCACAGCAGAGGGTTGGCTGGCATCCAGAACCCCTGGAACTGGAGGTTTAAGGGCCTCGCTCATGGGCCCACAGACATGTGACTATTCTGCCCGATCTTGAACCAGCAGTCTTCCGACCACAGGCCCAGAGGCTCAGCCTGCTGAGCCACACACCAGCTCCACAGAAATGCTATGTGAGTGTTATTGTAAGCAGGTGTGTTCATACGATGGGCCCCAAAGCTGGGAGCTTCCAAAAGATTGCTGTCTCTGGCTGCTCCTGGCTAAGGATGTGACAACACACATAGTCTTGCAATAACAGAGATACACTGTTTTATATTTATAGAAGAATATAATTTCTTTCCCCCTTTTGGATTAATAACCAAGCTGGATTTTTTTGGAATTTGGGTTTTATATTGGCTGAAGTTCACATTCCCCATAGGTGTGTGTGGTCGTGTGAATGGTGTGTGAGTGTGCCCTGTGATGGGTTGGCACCTCATCCTGGGTTGTTCCCTGCCTTGCGCCTGTAGCCTCTGGGATCGTCTCCAGATCCCTGTGACCCTGATCAGGAAAAAAGCGGTTTCAGAATATGGATGGATGGATGGATATTTGCTGAAGTCAGTAATGTGCACTGTAAAAAATGTCTGTGAAATTAACAGAGAAATTCTGTAATATAAAAAAAAGTAAAAATTTGTTTTAAAAAAATAATTTTTTGGTAGAGTTAAATTACTGTAGTTCAGTAATACAAACTTTAATAAACTAATAGAATACAGTTAAAATTACAACATAACGGTGTGAAAATATTTTTTTAATCAGGTCAACTTTTGTTTATACTGAAAGAAACCGTGCTACATTTTGCAAGTTAATATTTAGTGCTTTCCTTCGTGCGTTACAAACCAACAAGAAATAGCCCACACTCAGGATTTTCTGGTTTGTCAGTCAGCTTTTGACAGTACATTCGGGGCTACCGTCAGAACTTCACCTCGTGGCAACACCTCTGGTCAGTTGATAAGAAGATAAAAAATACTGTAGCACCGGTGGGGCTCGTGTCCCAGCATGCCCCGTGTGCAACTGTAAATAGCCCTTGTATTGTTGTTATTGTTAATGGTTATATTTCCTTATTGTTCCGCGTGTGTTCACCTGTGTCTAATGTGTAGCCTGTCCGATCCTCGTGTGTAATTATCTTACGTAAATCATCCACCGTTTATGCGTCTTACAGTTCAGCGTCAGACAACCTCGTGTTTCCTGTGTATAACTGGTTTGGTGGTTGTTGGGTGCCTGATGTAGTTCTTTTCAGAATAAAGAGTGTGTTACCTTGGCAAGCAAGGGCTGGTAGCTGTGGTTATCAGACTAATTCTGTGGAAAAATATCTGTTAAAAATGTAAACAGCTTTATGAAACAGCCTGTGAATTTCACATACCAACGCTGTAATATTTTACATATAATAATCATAATTTACAATAATAATTTAATTTAGCAGGGCCATACTGCTGTTGTACCAGTTATTTCAGTAAAGTTTACATCTAGTCATTGCTTATTCTACACTGAAACCAAGTAAACTTTACATGTAGTTGGTGGTTGTTTTACATTGAAATCCAGTAAAATTTACAAATGTTTCTGTAAAGTTGTTTACACTTGTACAGTATTTTTTTACAGAATAATTCTGGTAACCACAGCTGCCAGCTTTTTTTACAGTATAGTAAAAAGTGACAGGTTTTCCATAACCATCCTTTTTGTTAAAAACAGCCAAGAGCCAGAATTTCACAGAATGTTACAGTTTGTCTTAATACTGGGCAAACCACTCAGAAGTTCTTTTTCGGTTCTGGACACTGGAGGAAGCATTTCTGGAAATACTGGGTGTGGTACGTGACTCTTTGGGTTTGGACTCGGTGCCCGTGAGTGGAAGGCCATTGGTTCAGATCTCCTGGCCAGCAGAGTGATGTCATCACTGGACCCCTTGAGCAAGTCCCTTAATGCCAGTCGCTGCAGAGGCACTGAATATTGGCCAAATCTTTGCTGTTACCCCCAAACCTTCTCTCATCTGTATGAATGTGTGTGAGTTTCATGGAGAGTGAGATGGGGGAGGTGAAAAGATAATTTCCTCATTGGGATGAATGAAGTATCAAAATTCATGAAAAGAGCTGTAAGGAACATCCAAAATCTTTGGATTGCATCACATATGCGGTAATAGAAGGGCAGGAATATTGTCTGGTCCAGCGGTCTTCTGTGGGTTGATTCTGAACAGAGTTCACCTCACATCAGTCATGATCAGGCAGAGCGTTGGGGGGAGGGTTGATCTTCCTTGCTGCCCTGTCATTCTGTGCTTCAAACCATGCATAGATGTGACTCAGCACATCTGGAAGAGAGGTCTCACTGTCACAGGCAGGTGGAGATGTCCTGTAGTGGCTGATGGCCCAGATGCCCTGTCACATGTGTCGTACATCCCCA